TCTGGGGTTTCTCAAGGTTTATTCCTTGGCCCTATACTCTTTTTAATTTACATTAACGATCTTTCAGATATTCTCACATCTAAGGTGGCATTGTTTGCTGATGATACTACCATTTATTCTTGTCACGATAAGAAGCCAACTCCTTCTGATTGCTGGCAGGAAGCGTCTGAGCTTGAAAAGGATCTCACTTCTGCTACAGCATGGGGCTCACAGTGGCTGGTGAACTTTAATTTAGATAAAACTCAATTTTTTTCAGCCAACGGTTATTTCAATAATTTAGAACTTTCCATTTTTATAAACGGTAATGTACTCAATGAGTCTCCTACCCTTCATCTTCTAGGATTAGCTCTTACTTCTGATCTTTCTTGGAAACCTTATATCAAATTCGTTGCAAAATTAGCATCTGCTAAAGTTGCTTCTCTTTATCGAGCTCGACACTTTCTTACTCTGGATTCTATTCTCTATCTCTATAAATCTCAAATCCGGCCTTGATATAATATATATATATATATATATATATATATATATATATATATATATATATATATATATATATATATATATATATTTATATATATATATATATATATATATATATATATATATATATATATTTATATATATATATATATATATATATATATATATATATATATATATATATATATATATATATATATATATATATATATATATATATATATATATAGAAATATATATATATATATATATATATATATATATATATATATATATATTTATATATATATATATATATATATATATATATATATATATATATATATATATATATATTATATATATATAGAAATATATATATATATATATATATATATATATATATATATATATTTATATATATATATATACATATTTATATATATATATATATATATATATATATATATATATATATATATTTATATATATATATATATATATATATATATATATATTTGTATATATATATTTATATATATATATGCTATATATAACTGAAAATCTGATAACTTACATATTGGAGGTTCAGTTTCTGTTTGTGCTAAAAGAAATAAATAAATTATATTTAATTAAATAGTATACATTTATTATGTTATAATCATATATATAAATGAATGCAGCATAATTGGAATACAGTAGGTATCGCATAATTTGAATTCTGTTATAAGAAATACTTAAATATCTAAATGCAATTTGAATTTAAAAATAAATGCAATTTGAATTTAAAAATTATTTTTTATGAATACATAAGGTCAAATAGCACATTTAGTAAATAGTTAATAAAAACAGTGCCCCATGATAGTTTTGCTGAAACCCGTATATAAGTAAAACGTCAATTTTGAAAACTTTTCCGTTATGAATGTAATCCTTAAAAAATATTATTTATGCATTTATGCACTTATATGTATACATATATATATATATATATATATATATATATATATATATATATATATATATATATATATATATATATATATATATATTTGTAAAATACATACAACTTAAAATAATATTATTATGTAATGTTACTAGCAACTTGAGATTTTAACTATTATAAGTATTTCAATATTAGTGTTATAATAAACGCGTTTATATAACAATATAAAAGTTTAAATGATTTTTATACTTTTTTTAAACTCAGATACAGCATACTTTGGTGATTTTGACATTTGTAATACATAGTACAAGTAAAATTGTATGAACAATGTAAATGCTTCAGTTAGAGCAAATCTTGACCCAAAGTCCTATTAAATCTTTATTTATTTAAAAAAAATTAGTCTACTGCTAGTTAGTAGTTTATACTAACCCAAAAAAAAACTTTATATAGCTGAAATTAACCCAAAAATGATTAGATTATTGTTGAAAATTTTGTCCTAATGATATCTGATCTATCATTAAGATTGGTTTAGAGCAAGAAAAAAGGAGAGATTAGCTTCTAAAAAAAATATATGGCAATATTTTAATTTCTAACAGTTGCGTAATTTGCTATTTGATCAAACTATGTTTTGTTTTTTTTTTAACCAAGTAGGCACTGGTAAATAACCAAAGAGCTAAATATTTTAGTAGAACATGGACTATCAGCATTTTTTACTGCTTAACACAAAATCGTGTTAGAAGCAAGCCAAGTTGAATAACATTCTTTTATTACTCGCCTTGTTGTGTTCAATATATAATTTTTGCTTTTTTTTTCTCATATGCAACTTAGATGTTTAAAATATTACTAATTCAAACTGTTTGCTATATTTGCAATGCAGAACTTATGTTACAAAGATTGGTTAATGATCTTTTTGGCCTATAATCAATGATCATCTGGCCTACTTAATCATAGTCTTTATAAAAAATGTCTTCCATGGCCTACTGTCAGTGACTTTAATGTTCATCACTGTTGTTGTCGGTGACTTTAATTGTTAACTTTGTCACTTTAATTGTTACTTTGTCACTTTAAATGTCACTTTAATTGTCACTTTAATTGTTTAATTTAAATGCCACTTTAATTGTCACTTTGTCACTTTAATTGTCACTTTAATTGTTAACTTTGTCACTTGTTTTTATGTTAATCAATTGCTAGACAATTAAATCACTCTTTTATTGTTGAAGTCATTTCTTAATTTAACTGTTGTTGGTGGTGTCTTAATTTAACTGTTGTTGTTGGTGACTTTAATGTTCATCACTGATGTTGTCGGTGACTTAAACTGTAGGTGACAACTGTTGTTGTCGGTGACTTTAATGTTCATCATTTCTTAATTTAACTGTTGTTGGTTGGTGGTCTTAATTTAACTGTTGTTGTCGGTGACTTTAATGTTCATCACACTGAATGGCTTGGCTCTAGTGTCAGTGACTCCGCAGGCATTAAGGCCCACAATACATAGTACAAGTAAAATTGTATTAACAAAAAAAATGCTACAGTTAGAGAAATGTTTGACCCGAAGTCCTATTAAATCTTTATTTATTCTCTTCAACTTTAAAAAAATTAGTCTACTGGTAGTAAGTAGTTTATACTATCCCAAAAAACTTTTTATAGCTGAAATTAACCCTAAAATGATTAGATTATTGTTGAAAATTTCGTCCTAAAGACATCTGATCTAGCAATAAAATTGGTTTAGAGCAAGAAAAAAGGAGAGACTAGCTTTTAAAAAATATATATAGCAATATTTTGATTTCTAACAGTTGCGTAATTTGCTATTTGATCAAACCATATTGTTTTTTTTTTTTAACCAAGTAGGCACTGGTAAATAACCAAAGAGCTAAATATTTTAGTAGAACATGGACCATCAGCATTTTTTATGGTTTAACACAAAATCCTGTTAGAAGCAAGCCAAGTTGAATCACATTATTTTATTGCTCGCCTTGTTTTGAGCAGTCAATAACTTTTGCTCATTTATTCTCATATGCAACTTAGATTTGAAAAATCACTAATTTAAACTGATTGCTATATTTGTAATGCAGAAATTATGTTACATAAATTCGTTAATGATCATCTGGCCCATAATAACATAATAAATGATCATCTAACCTAGTTAATCGTAGTCTATAAAAAATGTCTTCAATGGCCTAGAAGTTTATCAGATATCAATTTGTTCTAAAATATAAAAATTGTGAGCATTTAGAGAGTTTCATAGCATAAGCTAACTTTTAAAATCTCATTATTTTGCTTTCAATAATGTATGAAAAGAATAATGTTTATGACCTAGAAATCTAACAAATGTGACTAAAAAACAAAAACACTAAAATATGTTAAAAGATTTCTTAAAATAAATTGTGTATCAATGAAGCGTATTGTTTACACAAAATAAAAAAATAATTTAATAAGAAGCCATTGTTTTATTTTCTTTTAAGTTGCTGATTCTTCAATTCTTCTGTATTTATTAAATATATAAAATTACTTTACTGCAAGTATGTTTAAACACAATATATATTTATTAGAGTGTTTTAAAAACAACATTTTTTAAAAATATCTGTAGTGTGCACCTTTATATGTTTTGTTTGATAAAACAACACTGGGTTTTAAAGATTTTTGACCAAAAAATAACTAAGATTGCATTAATGCCCATAAACATTTATTGAAAACTTGTTTTAAAAAAAATACTGTCTATTTGGGTCTAAAATGAAGTAAATAAATAAAATATCAAAATGAATAATCATTTTATAAAAAAAATCATTTCAAATTTTACTGCATAGCAGTATAAACTTTTTAACTAAAAATGAAAAAAGTGCTTTTATAATTTTAATTATAAAATTTTACAATTTTATTCAATTGTTGTTTTTTTAATAAAATCACTATTAATTTTAAAATTTAATATATAGGTTTATAAATTGAGCCCAAGAGATTTTTATTGTTTTGATCACATAATGGTATATAAAAAATTTTTAATCAAAGTTTGACGCCCACTATTTATAAAAGCAGATTCTAAAATGACTTTGCATTTCACCAGGTTAATGACTAAAAATATACTGCCAATGCATCATGATGTTACTTAACCCTATTGGTAGATTTAATAACGATTTCAAGTTGCTTTTTGATTTAGTAAATATCTAATGTTGTCGTAAGAAAAAAAAAGTCTATTTAAAAAACAACTTTTTATCTATAGAAATATATATATATATATATATATATATATATATATATATATATATACATATATATATATATATATATATATATATATATATATATATATATATATATATATATATATATATATATATATATATATATATATATATATATATATATATATATATGTATGTATGTATATATGTATATATATATTTATACATATATATATATATATATATATATATATATATATATATATATATATCTATATATATATATATATATATATATATATATATATATATATATATATATATATATATATATGTATATATATATATATATATATATATTTATATATATATACATAAATACCTTCAAGCAAATTAATTTTACTGTATTTAAACAAGAGTCTTACATTTTGGTGGATCAGTTACTTCTTTTTCTAAATAAAAACAAAACTATACTATATATATATATATATATATATATATATATATATATATATATATATATATATATATATATATATATATATATATATATATATATATATATATATATATATATATATATATATATATTCACTTTGTATATAAAGGTATACAATGGGCAAAAAATTAGATGGCACAAGTTTTCTTTATTTACTTTTTTTAAAAAAATTTTTGTTAATTGTTCTATTCGACTTGTTAAGTAATTTATCTATCAATGAAGCAGATTTTTTTTAGTTTCACATTGTCTTCTTGCATCATCAACTGTAGCTCCATTTAAATTATCCTATTTTATAATGTTATAGACTGTTCAAAAGGGAATTCAGTATTATATATTTTGTGTGTTTTATATGTAAATAGATTATGTTTTAATTATGTAAATATAATTTTAGACAAAAGCTTACCAAAACTTTATTTTTTTGCTAAAAAACTTTCAATAAACACTAAATAAAGTTTATGTAGCAATAATTACTTTGCTTCCAATATAAAACCTGTGTTTTTTTAATGTTTTCAAAAACAATAACCCTTTGGTGGAATTATTTACAAATATATATTAAAATCTTTATAATAGTAGCGCTCTTTGATGACATGTAAATTATTTAGACTTGTAAGAAAAAAATATATATATATACTGGCTTTGAGGGGGGTGGCTTTGAGGGGGGGGAGATTATGCACTGCACGAAGGCGGTAAGTAAATAGGGGCAGAAAATTTTATTTGTTACAAGTTTTAATTTTCTAAAAGTAAATTAAAAATAAAAGATTTGATGCATGACCTTTACAAAAAATTACGAAATTTACTTTTAAAGTATGATTAAGGCATGGTTTTCTATTGTATTTATAGTATCATTTGTGCGTTATTTCCACTAGGAAATAACACACAAATGATACAAATGAATAGTTGGTTTATTCAGATTCTACAAATGAATGGTTGGTTTATTCAGATTCTAGTTCCGTATTTTGTTTTTATTGTCTACTTTTTAATAATTATTCAAATTCAAACTTAGTCTCTGATGAGTTCAATAAATAGAGGCATTTAACTGAAATACTGGGAATTCATGAAAATAGCGTCTCCCATATAAAATGTTATCAATAGAGGATGGAAACTGAAATAAAATTAAAAACTGGAAAAACTGTGGATAATGAAGATCTCAAAATTATAGAAAAAGACGGTTCTTCGCTTGATGAATGTCACTCTTTACCTAGCTTAAAATAATATGGTTTTTAGTTTTTATTTATAAAGAATTAAAAGCCGTTAGACAGAGAATTATACAGAGAATTGAAAGCCGTTTACTATTCAATCATTGCTGATTGAACACCTGATATTTCTAGAAAAGATTAACTTTCTCTTATAATTCTTATAATTTGATTAAAAAATGAAGCAATCAAAAAGTGATTGCTTGTTTTGAGGGATCAAATTGACAAGAAAGGGAGTATAAAGTTGAATTGACACCAAAAAGAAAATTTAAATGTGAGATTGTCAGGAAGATTGTTATTTTAGATAAAAAATGATACAGGAGCAAAAATAGAACCTTGCAATAGTCTTAAAGTTACTGGAAATAAAAAAGAGTGTAGCCCTTTGAGAATAACTTTAGAAAGTTAGAAAGAAATGATTTTTAATCTTAAAACTTTGATATGAAGAAACTAATTCTAGAGAGTAGACTCCAAAGATGGAGTGGTTTTTATTTTGTTTGACTCCAAAGATGGAGTGGTTTTTATTTTGTTTGACTCCAAAGATGGAGTGGTTTTTATTTTGTTTGACTCCAAAGATGGAGTGGTTTTTATTTTGTTTGACTCCAAAAATGGAGTGGTTTTTATTTTGTTTGACTCCAAAGATGGAGTGGTTAGAGTGTTTTTTATTTTTAAATATTTTGTCTGAACCATAAGCCGTAAAAAATTAAAACTTAGAATTGACTTTTATTTTTGAGTTAACCCGTTTTACTGGAACAACATGAAGAGTGTGACCACTAGATTTAACAGCCAAGTAAGAGAAAACGTTATTTTCCAATAACTCCATGTTCCATGTTCTGTGTTCCATGTTCCACTCCTGTTCCATGTTCTGCTGCCTTGCAGGATTTACTATCTAAGCAAAGGCTGGAAGGAGTGTTCTTCCTGTCATCAGTACTATCTTATATCAGTCATGCCTATAGTAATTTTTTTTTTTTTTTTTTTTTTCCCATATAGTTGGAGGTGCCTTAGTTACTGTATTAGCTCACCTGTAATCTACATTATATGTATGTTTGTGTTCTGTCTGAACCTCTGGCGCGGTGTTCGTTCACCCGTAAGTTACTTTATGTTCTTTATGTATGTCTGCGTTCTGTCTGAACCTCTGGCGCGGTGTTCGCTCACCCGTAAGTTACTTTATGTTTATGTTTATGTTTATGTTTATGTTTATGTTTTTGATGTTTATTTATGTACGTTTGTGTTCTGTCCGAACCTCTGGCGTGGTGTTCGCTCACCCGTAAGTTACTTTATGTTTATGTTTATGTTTTTTATGTTTTTTTTTATGTATGTTTGTGTTCTATCTTAACCTCTGGCGCGGTGTTCGCTCACCCGTAAGTTACTTTATGTTTTTTATGTATGTTTGTGTTCTGTCTGAACCTCTGGCGCGGTGTTGACTCACCCGTAAGTTGATTTATGTTTGTTTGTGTTCTGTTTATACTCTAATGCAGCGTGAGCTCAGTAACTAACTACTTACTCCAACTACAAAACGTACACTCACCTTAGACTCCTGTATTTTGTTAGATGAATTGTTTTTCCTTATGCACTTCCAAAATGTCATGCCTGGTTTTCTCAAAGTACTGTTGCGGGAAGTAGCTCCTTTTAACTACTCCAGGTCAGGTCAGGATAATCGAGATCAATCTTGCTACTGGTATCACGTAACCCAGTACCACCTGCCACAAGCCCTGCTGCCTTGCAGAGTGTGCTCTTCTTATGCAAAGGCAAGGAGAAATAAACTCCGACTAAAAATTCCCCTGCCTTGGGGCTCTTGGTTGAGTAAAGGCTAGAGATGGTGTCTCGATAAAAACAATCATCTTGGGCAGATGTTAACTGCATCCAGCTAAACATCCCCTGCCTTGGGGCTCTTGGTTGAGTAAAGGCTAGAGATGGTGTCTCGATAAAAATACTCATCTTGGGCAGATGTTAACTGCATCCTGCTACTGTCTTGTAGAAGGCCTCCTAGGCAAAGACTTTAGGGGTAAGCAGAAAAATTCTGCTAACCAGCCTCGAACCCCTTCTTCATCTATTAGGCTGGCGTAGATGTAACCTGTGTTACATTGTTTCCTGCCTAGGATGATGAATGCTGGATCTCCTTGACTCTACTCATAGAATTTTGCTTATGCCTCTATGATAATGGCTATGCAACTTTTCCTGTTATCTCCATATGAGGGTACAGCTCTAAAACTCAGTTTAATGGTTCTGAGGCCGGCTGGTAGTAAGGTTTCCCGAACTCTGTGGTAGCTCTCAGAGAGGCTGATTCCATCAACAGCTGCAAAATATCAGAGTATTAACAGTGCCATGTTGCGCATGGATGGTGTCCCTGTTAATGCTTTTGGTGTGCATTGTCAAGGCCACATAAGGAGCCCTATGTCACGGCTTAGGGTTAATTAACAGGACTGAGACAACTGCATAGCTCATTGATTAGGAGGCTGTGCTCTATCTATGAATGAGTCAAGTTCTCATTAAACCCAAATCATGATCAAAGTAACCAAAAATTTAAAACCTAAAAAACCATCCCCACCACCTAAATATTTTAATATATCTTTTACAAATATTCGCGGTCTACGAAGCAACTTTCCATCAGTTGAGTCTTACCTCCTGCAAAATTCACCAGACTTGCTTGCACTCAGTGAAACAAATTTAAGTTCTGCAATTCCTTCTTCAGATGTCAGTGTTAATGGGTACTATCCTTTGATTCGTAAAAACTCCAATAGTCACATGCTAGGTTTAGGGGTATACATACGCATTAATTCCCCTATTTGTCGTGAAATCAGGTTCGAATCCTTTGACCATTCTTTTATGTGCTTTCGCCTAGCACCTCTTCACTCTATCACCTTTCTCTTTGTTCTTTATCGTTCTCCTTCTTCCCATGATTGCACTCTTTTAGATGTTATCTCTGATCAAATTGACTATGCCCTCTCTCATTACCCCTCTGCCAATATTGTTGTTGTTGGTGATTTTAATGCCCATAACACTGAATGGCTTGGCTCTAACACCACTGATCCTGCTGGCACTAAAGCCTTTAACTTCTGCGTTTCTCAATCTCTTACTCAGATAGTTAACTTTGTGACTCGTTTTCCTGACAACCCTAATCATTTACCTTCACTCCTTGACTTATGTCTTGTCTCTGACCCTAGCTTATGTTCAGTTTTTCCTTTTTCTCCCTTAGGTGGTTCTGACCATGCAATGATCTCTATAAATCTTTCTTCTCGTACTTCTTTTTTGGGCTCACCTTATCATCGCACCACCTACTACTACCCTAAAGCTGACTTGTATTTCTTTTGTGATTTTCTTCGTGATGGTCCTTGGGCTGATGTTTTTTCTCTCTCAGCTGACAAATGTGCCTCCTACGTAACCTCCTGGGTTCAGGCTGGAATGGAAGCTTTTATTCCTTCTCGTCAGTTTCAAGTCAAGCCTCATTCTACTCCATGGTTTTCTCCTTCTTGTGCGGCTGCTATATCCAATCGTAACCATTTTTTTCATCTTTTTCAAAAGAACAACTCTCTTGAGAACAAACGGCTATTTATTATTGCAAGAAATCGATGTAAAAAGGTGCTTTCTGATGCTAAACTCCATTATTCTCAGTTCACTAAATCTCGCATCTTATCGCAGAAGTTAGGCTCTAAAGACTTTTGGAAAATCTTCAACAGCATTGTTAACAAGGGTAGATCTAACATTCCATCTCTCATTCATGGGACTGATCTTGTTACCTCTCCCAGGGATAAGGCAGAACTGT